GGCTGCCGCGGACGCCCGGCCAACAGCCAACAGCATGGATTCGGATTCCGGCGAGCAGAGCGATGGCGAGCCTGTGACCGCAGGTACAGAGGGGACGGCTGGGGCCGGGAGGAGGGGAAGCCAGGGCAGGAAATCGCGAGTATTTCTCGGAGCAGCTGGGAAGGAGGCCGATCCCCGCAGCCCCGGTCCCTCACAGGCCAGGACTGGGAATTGCTCCACGCTGTGAGTTTGCTTTGGGGCTTTCTCTCCTATTGCACTTGGGTGCGCAGGAGGGCGAAGATGTGCGTTTGCGGGTGACGCTTCGCTTTGCCGGGCTCCTGCGGCGCGCTCCGGAAGCCCTGGCTGGGCAGGGGTAGGGAAGGGTTCGAGAAATCCGAGTCCAGTAGTTTGCTGCAGCGAAGGTTGCCACGCATCTGCCTCATGAAATAACTTTTTCGAGCTCTGGCCCCGGCCTCGAACCGGGGGCGCCGCGGACGTTGCGGAACAGGTGACAGGTCCGAGGACGTGACAGGGGACGCGGGAAGGAAAGGCCCCGCTGGCGGACGGGCTGGGGTGGAACCACAGCTAGCGGCTGCTGTTCCCGAGGCTGCTAGACGAACCTGTGAAGAAGCGTTCGCCCATCGCTGCTGGGCACGGGCGGAGGACATCCCCGCTGAGGGGTCCGGGGACACAGACGGCGGGGCGCGCGGGAGCCGGCCTTCGCCTTTAAGAGGCGCCGCCGGCTTTTCACAATCGATAGGTATTGAAGCAATGGGTGGATGCTTACTTAGGAAAAAATGAATGTCCTCCCCCGCCTCTCCTTGGTACTGAGCAACAGGAGGAAGCCACCCACAGCCTTAGGTCGACTTACCGCCAGGCTTTACCCACCTCCACGGGCCGGGTCCGCACGCCGCCCTCGGGTCCACGCATCAGGCCACGTGCGGGTGGCTCCCCACGTTGCCCTGAGGGCTAGCCCTGGCCAGCAGACCTGTGACCTGAGAGCTGGGATCCACCTGGTACAGATCCGAGGTCCTAGACTAGTCCTCACTCTTCCCAATGTCACTCCAGTGTCATAACGTTGGGGACCAAGTGATGGGAGGCACCATCAGTCCAGGAATGGGTGTAGGAAAGGCAGGTTCAGGAACCAGGCAGGACAGCGCCAGGCACTGTGCCAGGGGCCCTACATGTATTATTTCCCCTCATCTTCACAGCATCTTAGCCAGGTGATTACTGTGTCTTGCCTACCTCTCAGAGCCAGGGAGTAGCCAAGGGCAGGATGAGTTCCTTTCCACTGCATCATACACCTCAGCCTCTCACAGGACAGCTGCAGTCAACACCTTCAGGTGGGTGGGAAGAGGTGAGGTGGAAAGGAAAGCTGTCATCACCAAGATGTGTGTGTGAAGATTCCTGTGTGTATGCAAGGGCCACCTGCTTTGTGTAGGTATGTGTGGATATAATTAAGAAACATGAGCCTTCTGCCTACCTATATGTTTCAGTAACTATGAAACACCAAAATTTTGTTTCACAGGTGGCTGTGGATCTCCTTATATTTAAAAGTTCCAGTGGGTGTTTCGTGTGTATCTAAGTATATCTTCAGAACTCAAAAGGAGGGGGGCAGCGGGGCAGTGACACTGACACTTTACTCTTTCAAAATCCCAGGAACTAGCAGGCCCTTGCTGCCCCCACCCTCAGATCTCTTTTGCGGGTTGGTGGAAAGGGGGAGGAGGATAAGGAGGCTTAGAGAAAGAGGAGTGGAGGAGAAGAAGGGAGGGAGAAGATATTCCAGAAGAGTTGGTGAAAGGGGAGGGAAGGAGTTCTGAAGGGTATTGCTGCTTCTCCTTTCCTCTTGCCCATCCGGAGTGCCCCGTATGTGTTCCTGTCTCTCTCTGTCAGAAGGCCTGTGCACAGTGAACAGCAAACATTACCACGGAAGTGAAAATGGTCCCATGAAGAATAGCCAACGCTTGTGAAGTGTCCCCATTTGTTTGTGCTTTACTGTTTTCTACAGTCATTTCTTCTTTCTCTGTGTGCTTGAATCCCACAAGTTGAACATTTATTTGAATGTCACAAGCCATTCTGTTAAATGGCATTCAGTCTCGCTCATTATTTTCAGTCATAAAGTATTCTTCATGGGAAAGCTTCAAAGCTAGATACTAATTTATTGCCTTGCTGTGGCTGCATCATGTCAAATGGAGACCCTTCAGATACAGGTTAAATGACAAGTATGTTATCCATAAGGGCTGACCTTTATTCCTGTAAGAAATGTCATTCATCCATGGACCTGTATCTGTGAAAGCTGGATGGGTTTGTAACTGAGAACGACAGCCAAGTGGGACATCTTGGAGAATTCGTGTGTGTGTGTGTGTGTGTGTGTGTGTGTGTGTGTGTGTGTGTGTATCTGAGTGTACCTACTTCATAGGAATTTGAGATGTAAGGACTCCTTCCTCCTCAATACCTTTTCCTTCCTGAACTTGTGATAAAGCTCTGCCCTGAAACAGGCCTCATTAAGGTCAAGAACCAGGACTATGGAATCAGAAAGACCTGGGTTTCAGTCTCTAACTGATGGGCAAGTTACTTAGTCCCTTCAAACTTCAGTTTCCCCCTCTGTAAAATGGGGTTAATAATAGTACCACGAGAAGATTGTGAGGATTAAATAAATAAATTACATTAAATAAAAATGACCTGGTGGTCATTCAGTAAATGGTAGTTGCTATTTTGATTATCACCTGAATGAATTATGCATTGTAAAAATACTGCTAAATAATGTACCCCCGTGCTTTGTAAAATATAAATCACTAGACATGTGTAAAGAATTAGTACTGTTGCCATTATTATCACATTCATAGAATTGCCTAAAGAGATTTGTTTTGAATTTTCTCCTTTATACTCTCCCATTCTCTCTCTGGGGTGTGTGTGTGTGCACGCGCGCGTGTTTGGGGGAGATTATTTTTAATTTACCTCTTCTCACCCTCATCATCTTCCAGCTGAAGGTGGGGACTTTCAAACCTATCGTTTTCACCACTCTTTTCCTCCAGCTCTCGGAAAAATTATGAAAAGCAGAGAATCCCTTACCAAATCTACGTGCTAATCTAAACATTAGCCACTTTCAAATAGAAGAGGTTGTAACTCTCTTCCCCACACATACACTTTTCCCTTCAAGGTAGCAGGAAGCACAGGAGGTATTCACCATTCTCTCCCATTTTTGCCCATCTCACTGGTCACAAATTGGCAGAAGACTGAGGAAATCTCTGGGGACCACCTACTCTTTACTGTACCCCTTCAAGAGACTTTTCCAAAGATCTCCCCAGTGCCTACTGTGCAGATCTCTCATCTAGCAATACCCTGCATAGGAGAGTGAAGCGGGGAGATGAGATTTGTCTCAATTTGTATTTTCTGTTTTTCAAGAAGCAGAGGATGATGCTTCTGTGTCATTATGCTGCCTGCAGCTCTCCTCAGCTTTTCTTTTATTGTATGGTTCTTTCTATGATTAGGAGAAAGGCAGGGTTTATGGAACACTGGATTCATTCCAGAGACCCAACTTGGCAGTTTCTCCTTTGGCAAACCCACTATCCATCTCTGAGAAACCCTAGAGCTTGGTGTATTAACTCGGCAATGATTGAGAATCTTTCCAAAGATGCAACAAGCGAGTAAACATTAGTAGTGTCAGCTTTTTCCCTTTCTGGCTTGTAAGATCAAGATAGTCTACCCAGCTGGAGGCAGACAAGCTCCTTCCACTCACAGCCAGATGGTCCACGGCAGCCAATTTAATGGGCTAGATAGGTACAGCAGAAAAGCATTTCCATGTGTTGGGGTCAGAATGTGGTAGGGGAACTTCAAGACAATAAAGAAAGTGTAAAAACAAAACAAAACAAAACAAAACAAAACAAAAACAGGTTCCTAACATTGCCTTTCCTGACTTTCCCATCCCCTATGTCCTAAGTTTGGTCCATGTGAATAAAGTGGTGAGGAGTGGGTAGGATTTGATTGGTGGCCAAGAGGAGAAAAGGATACCAATTGAGCAAAGGCACAAATAAACAAGAAGGCATCTGGAGTAGAGGGTATATGCCAGGGAACACTGGGAAATACCATTACATGAGTGTAGGGAGGGCCACGTATAAGAGGGTCTTAATAACTTGGTCCTCACGGTGCTGAAGAAGTCTCTGTGAGCCGATTGTTGAGTAGAGACATGACTGAGAGCTGGGTTTTCAGAAGCCACATTTGAAGACATGGAGTGTGTGGATTGCCTAGGCTTGGAACCTCAGCTCTCTGGGTGTGGCCACAATATCAGAGAGGGTGGTAGCACTAAGGCAAGGCACAGAGGAAGGATGCAAATGCCATTTCAGAGAAACAAACAACAGGAGTTGGTGACAGATTGTACAAAAGCAGCGAAAGGAGAGAGAATGGAAAGAGACTGGTGTGTGGAGTTGGGGCGAGGGCAGAGAAATGTGGGAGATGGACTCCCCACCCCACCCGTGCTTCCCAGCCCCTCGCTTTCCATCAGGCACTTAGCAGTGATGTTTGGCTTAGAGATACCTTTCCTCTGTAGACAGTAAATCACACCAGGGCATCATGATGTTCTGGTATTTGTTGATTTTCATTGTTAGGTTCCTGGTGGGGGCTGTTCAATAACCTCTATCACTAAAAGGTTGACAGCTGATTAATTGGCCAACTTAGAGCAGGGACTGTCTGGGGATGATGTACCACTTGGCTGTTAGTCCCAGCCCCATGTTTTATTCCTGTTTGTGGACATTTTCAGGGGCCTCTGCCTTGTCCACGCAGTGGGCTGTAGCTGCTTTGAGGGTCAGGACCTTGTCTTGTGCTTTCATGTTCCAGAGACTGTTATGGACATAATAAATGAATGAGCGTCTTAAGGAGCCTCCTGAGAACTTTGCAGTAAAAGGCCAGCCAGACAGAAATCTGCCCAATGAAGTGGAACTGCCGAAGCTTTCCGTCAGTGTTTGTTTTTGCTTCAATGTTTTAAGATTTCTTGCACTGTTTGGGACTCTGTGTTGGGAAGTATGGGGGATGCAAAGAGAGATAAGGACGTAGTTCATCCTGTCCTCCAGGGCTCGAGATGAGATGGGGAGAGAGGACGCATGTACCA